CGATATTTAAAAATAAAACGAACGGTTTAGTTTGTTTTATTTTTAAATATTCCTTACATAATTATTATGAATAGCATAAGATCAGATTACAAAAAGACTAAAAAAGTTAGCAAATTAATCAGATGTTTAAAAAGATATTTTACTTAGATATATCTATTTTCTTTCAAATGAAAAAAAATTTAAGCTTTTTAGACCGACTTACAAACATGATATGATCTATTGTTTATAACACTGATCAATTTGGGGGTGGTGGTTTTTCAAAATCAAAGTCAGAACGCCTTCTGCTGAGGGGAGATTGATTTTTCAGAATGTAGACCAGAACCGACGTGTCTGTGTAGATATGTTAATAGTATAAAATATACAAGATTATTTCAGTGATACGGCAATTCAGTTGTTTTATTTACTGATTATTTTTATCAGCGAATAAAAAATAATAGAAAACTTTAAGTTATTTACATTTATTTTAAAATTTTGATGCAATATTCATACCGAGATCTACACATAATAAATATAACAAACTTTTTTTAAAAACTTTTAACATATGGAATTGATTAACAGAACTAAAGGTTTGAAATTATCTTAAAAAGTTTTAATACCCAGCATTAATTAAAATAAAAAACAGAATGATTTAATAATTTACTGGTTAATAAAGCAGAATAAACACAGATTTACCATAAAGTGTTTAACAAACTATTCAAACAAAACCTAAAGTATTAACGATATTTTTCACCCATCTGTACTGACCACGAGTAAAATGCACTCGCTCATTTTAAAATTACTATTTAAATTTTAAAGATTGTTAATTTTATGATCACTTTCACTGTTTCATGCACGTTTTGAAAGAATTTGAGCATACGAAATTACATANTTAATGATCCAAAATGTCATCAGTCAGAAATATTATCTAAAGCATTTCTCGGGGATAGGCTCGGTATTCTTTTTGGACCAGGCCTAATGTAAACTTTGCATTGTTTTGTTTTTTTTTTACTTAGCAATATCCTCTCAATCTTCCCGTGTTTCAACAACTTTAGAGATCCCTTTTATAGTAACCCAGCAGAAAATTCTTCTGGCTGAGCCTCAAGACGTATACTCATCCGGCAGATTACTTTGTCGGATGAGAGGGAACAGTATGGAAATAATTTTTATTAAGAACTATACATTTTAGACTTATACAGTTTTTGCGATTGTGTTCTTTTGTGTCTATTTTACATAGTAATAATTTTTTTGTATTTTATTTTTAAATAAATTTGTCACTTTCGATTTTTTAAATAAACACACTGCTTGCACAACTCAAGGTCATTATTGTAGTGAGGTAAATGTTTCTTTTTCTGTCTTTTTCTTTAATTTTTGTGATATCACAAATTTATATAGTTCATTACATATTTTCGTTAGAGTTTCGTGATTTCTGATAATTGTTTTTTTTAATCGTAAATGCAATGTATAAATGTAAATTTTTTATTACTTTGTTAGTTTTGTTTATTGCCTTATTTTCTGAATGTGAAATGTGTCACTTATGCAATAGACACGATCTAAATCACTGTGAATGGAATCTCCAGAAAATCTTTCAAATCATCATCATATTTATTATAGTTCGCTTCCTCATCTATTTCACAAAGACATCACGAAACACATTTATCATTAAATATTATAGTTTTGTTTTAAATGTAAGAATTGTTATATATAACAATCTGGGAATGAAAATCAAACTAATAAAAACTGTCTAAAGGTTACGTTGCCAGAGGAGGGTTTTCTGGAAAGTCGAGTTCAAAGTAACAAAGAGAAATAACAAAGTGAGTAAATTTTACTCATGATTAGTACTAACAGTTAGTTCGAATTTTGTTAGAATAATGCTTGCAAATAATTTACATCTTTAAATGTATTTTAAAAAATCGTAAATAAAATGTATTTTTAATGATAATTTGGCTTATATTCTTGAAATTTGATGAAAAAACTCAAATATAACAACAATAGCATTTCGATGTTTAAATAATTGAAATACAGTAGAGCGTCGATTTTCCGAAAGTCAATCATCCGAAAGAATTTCAGTCGGCAAATTTAAATTTTCGCCAGTGCTGTGGCGCTTCAATCTTTCACTATGTCTTCGGCTACTCAAATATTTTACGTTTTTGATACTAAATTAACATCTGAAGTATAATTTTTTATTATTTTTATATTTTTCAATATATTTATTTTGTTTGTACAAAATAAAAAAATAATTTTTAACGA